GAAAGAGAGAAAGAAGAACAGAGAAAACAAACTGTAATGTTTCTGGTCAGTTCTTCCCTCAGCACACATCCTTACCTGTGTCAGGGCAAGGACAGTCTTTCTACTGGTACTAAGCAAACCACATCTTTGAACTGAGTAGTAGGAATCATCTAAATGTTCCACTTCTAGCGCACTTGAAAATTTGGTAGGTTCATATTTTCTTTCCTGAACTAGTGCCCCTGACAAATCTGCCAAACAGAAGTAGCTGGGGTGAGCTGGAAGTTGAATCGTCAAGAGCTGCCTTCTCTCCCCACCCTTGCAACTTGGCCTTGAAGCAGAAGGGTGATGTCTCTATGAGTTTTAGTATAAGCATCTATTGGCTTTTTGATTGCATACATCACTCAAGTGCCCCACAAATAGTCATTGTATGTATTGCCAGGTTCAAATTACACTCTGACTCTTGCAGGGGTCTGCAGTGGTGGCAGCCAGAAGCCGGAAGTCGCCACCACCGCCGCCTGAGCTGCTTAGAAAGGCACGGGGTGGGCTGGGAGCTCTCATCTCTTGTGGGGGGGTACCAAGCCGCGTGTGTCCGTCCCCCTCCCCCCAGAGGCCCCCCATATTTCAAACCCTGTGTATTTTTGTACTGAAAGACCACAGTCAAAATCAGAGAGCCATTTTACCAGGCACTGCACAAACATGGAAAAAGTATCAGTCTGTGCCTCAACAAATTGAGCAGTGATCAGTTTCTCATCCCAAACCCCCCATGATGTCAGATGGCTCCATTAGCCTGACCACACCTGAGAAAAAAATAATGAGAAAGAGAAACTAAGGGTTAAATTCATGGACTGAGAGTTCAATGCCTAAGAATGGAAATCCCAGAAAGCTGAACTGGGAACCACCCAGATAGCCCATTAAAAATGCTGAGGGAAGGGACAGAACCTAAGCCCCACCCCACAAAGGTAGCTAGGTACCTAACTCCAGGTCAGACGAAGATCGCTACTTATACCTGGGATTCCCAGATGTGAATCTTCCTCTAGCACCTAAGCTGGGTCAGCTCTTTTGCATGAAAAATCACAGACAGAGGCCCAAGACTAATTAAGGCAGACAAGGTTCCTTGGGTGAATTTGATATCTTTTATTAGACCAACCCAAATGGTTGGAGAATAGTTATTAAGCAAGCTTTTGGGCTCAAAAACCCTTTGTCTGGCTCAGGAAGCTGCAGCAGTTGGTGTGTGCTCTTCCTGGATGGAACTGCTGCAGCTTCCTGAGCCTGACGAAAGGTTTTTGAACCCGAAAGCTTGCTTAATAACTATTCTCCAACCATTTGGGTTGGTCTAATAAAAGATATCAAATTCATCCAAGGAACCTTGTCTGCCTATATCCTTAGACCAACACGGCTACAACCTAAACCCCTGCAAGACTAATTAAAGCACTTGTCTGAGAGTTTGCAACCCCCTCTTTGCTGGTTTGAAACTGAGGCTTAAACCCATTCTTCCACCACTGAGGAAAGTGCCCTAACTCCAAGCTAGCCTGGTCAGGCTCACTCATTAACTCCTATGATGCTGCTTTTGTATTGATATTTATTCATTAAAGCAAATATATGACCCGAGCTCTCCCACCTCACAGACAAGTTGCCTTATCCCTGGGCTGTTTTGTAAAATGCAAATGGGCATGACATGGACAGTGCCTTCCACAGCTGTCTTCATCCCAAAATTACTCATATTTCTTTGCAACTTTAATTCTAGCCTAGTTTTTTTTGTCTGAGACTCATTATAATACTTGTAGTTGGCCAAACTGCATCTCCAACCAATGACAGCTGCTGGGTCCATTGGATAAGTATAGCTCACCTAAAACAAGATACCAGGACATTGTCTTCTGTCTGCTCACTGGCTGTTTGACCCAAACTTTTGTGTCAGGCCTGATCTATTATTATACTTGCTCTAAAAACTCCTAGCAAAGAGGACTTCACAGGTAAGACCAGTAAGGAAATTCCTAGCCTGAATATCCTGCCAGGGCTTTGGTGCTGAGTAGTTCAGTAGCACCAGGGATTAGATAGGTTTGCTTATTATGCTCTCAAGCAGAAATGTGAGCTCTCATAAGGTTATATGACAGTTAATCAGGGTGTTTGTGTATCACTACGTTGGGCTTTGGCACCCAAAATAGCAGTCCAATTTTGAAATCCCTGTGCAGACTTATGCCTCAGTGGCTTAGCCCAGGTTGCACAAGAAGTCTGTGTGAGAACTATAAAGACTCCAAACTTAAGTGTGCTGGGCCCCAGGCCAGTGCTTTAACCATAAGATCTAATAACCTCTTTGAAATGGCCTTTCATTACAACTTTTATCTAAAATGGGTCCATGATTTTCAGACTGTAATCAGTCGAGAGCCCTTTCTAGTGGGCCACGGAATTAAACATTCCAGGAATCAAGAAGTGGGAGATGGGAGAACTGAAAGGAGAAGGGCCAGCAGGAGCAGCTCTAGCTATTGCTAGCTGAAGAACCACTGCTACAAGTACTTTTTAAATTGCTTGCTTCTTAAATGTCAGTATCACTCCTTGGCCACTACACAACAGACTTCTGTACCCAGCATTGTATTAGCTTTCCGTACTGTATGTGGGTTAGCTATTTTTAAGCTACTTTGATGAGTATAGTGTGATTATGTAATTCCTTTTTGAATATTCTTGATGCTGACTCAGAAATCTCCAGGTTTGACACAAGTACATGATCAGACTTTATACTAAAGTCCCTCCTATTAATACTTTATAAAGAGCTAATAAAAAATTAATAGGTGTTTTAATAAACAGTTAATCAATAGGTTTTAATTAATCCAATAGAGCATCAGGTTATATATTGTCAGGATTTCTTACCATCTAGAACACTTTTTACTCATGTGCTTTTCCCACATAGTTCTGGCATCTGTAATGAGCTTCTAACATGATTGCCTATAAGCTGTTTATAAATGAAACCTGAACATAAAACTGGTAACCAGACACATTTTATATATCAGGATTTACAAAGTAAATCCTTCACTCTCTCATTCATGAACTGGCCCTTACCATCTTGTGCAGATAGCAGGAATCTGTGCACATTAAATAAACAATAAATTCACTAATTGCAACAGAAAACTATTGCTGGTTGGTGTGAAAAGTTGAACCTACTGAGTCACACAACACTGGGGTATGCTGGCAGGTTCCCTTTCATTTGCAAGAGTTCATTTGAGGATCAGCCTGAAAAAAAATGTTTTGAGGCTGCGAGCTCTTCTGTTTTTAATGCCAGGGACTCCAATAACCCCTGCTGGTAGAAGATAGCAGTGAAAAATCTTTGTTCTTTGCAACACTACATCTCAGAAGAAATTCATCTGCAGAGAAAGGCAAATGGTGCTTGCAGAGCTGCTGTCCTCTAGGATTATACCCAAATACGTATCCGGTCAAAGACATACAAAGGCCCACTAACCCGGGATATCTGAGGGACGTGCTGACTCAACACATCCCTGGACACCCTTTCTACACCAGTCACTCCAACACTTTCCTTGCACTGACAAGGAGCTGCAGCAGCACAAGTGTTGTGAATTCTTGCATTCACTTCAAATGGACTTTGAGCTTTGAGGGGTTATGGGAAGAAGGTGGTAAAGATTAGTTATAACAAAATTGTTATTTGTTGTAACAAAATTGACT